TAACTCAGCACAGGCAGCTCAGTACCTTCCCAATGGTCTAATCAGCATCTCTAACTCAGCACAGGCAGTTCAGTACCTTCCCAATGGTCTAATCAGCACCTCTAACTCAGCAGAGGCAGCTCAGTACCTTCCCAATGGTCTAATCAGCATCTCTAACTTAGCCCAGACAGCTCAGTACCTTCCCAATGTGCACACCTCCACCCCTCCATCCTCCCAGCCTGTTCTTGCGCTATCCTCTCAACTCAGAAAAATAGCAAGTCTATTCTTCCAACTGTTGTGAGGAAAGGGTATGTGGTGTTTTTGTTTTTCTTAAAAAGAGAGGACTATATTCATTCTCTACTCTCTCTGGGTCTCTGCCCTCTCCCACCCACACCCAGAGCCATCTTCAGAATATATCAGAATCTGACAACTGCTACCATCTATTTCCAAGCTACCCCTCCCTCACCTGGATTATCTCCCACTGGCCTCCTTACTTGTACCTCTGATCCTCACTAATCCTTACCCCACCTAAAGCAGAAATTATATCTCTCCCTTTTCAAAACTCTCTGGTGCCCTCCTAGTTCACTTAAAAACCAAAGCCTTTGGGTGGCACCTATGGCTCAGTGAGTAGGGCACAGGTCCCATATACCGAGGGTGGCAGGTTCAAACCCGACCCGCAACAAAAAATAGCCAGGCATTATGGAGGGCACCTGTAGTCCCAGCTACTTGGGAAGCTGAGGCAAGAGAATTGCCTAAGCCCAAGAGCTGGAGGTTGCTGTGAGCTGTGACGCCACAGCACTCTACGGAGGGCAACAAAATGAGACTCTGTCTCTTAAAAAAACAAACAACAACAACATAAAAACTAAAGCCTTTACGCTGGCCCCCAAACCCCTTTGCATTGTTATTTTAATTTTGATGCAGCACTAACACTTCAAATCACAAAATCTGACCTAGAAAGGAAAGGACATGGAACATTTAGCCCAACCAATCATTTTACAGTGTGAAACTAATGTCACAAAAGCCAAGTGAAGCACCCTACGAACACCAAGCTAGAGGATGGGGACACTGAAATCTGCATTCTCCCGGCCTGCAGGCCAAGGCCTTTCCTATTGCTTTTAGGGTCTTCTCCTTCTCAAGAACTTTACAAAGAGAAAAGAAAAGAGAAGAAAAAGTACTTTCATAGTTCCATCAAGAGCAATGAGCATATTTTCTAGATTGCAAGCAAGAGTCTCTGTTAAAAAAATACAATTAAAAAAACTACCAAATTAGATAAACTGAAAGAAAAATAGTATTAGTGAGCTTCCTGGCTTATTCCTAACTTTAGACAGACAAACCAAATATAAATATGTTGACATAAGGGATTTTTGTTGGGACACAGGCCTCAAAGTCTGGACAATTGCAACATTATTTATTGCAAAGCCCTTAAGCCATTTTTATTGAGTAGTTTCTAGGAAGTTTTCAAAGCAACCAAAACTCTTCCAAATGCCTGTTAAAACTTGGCATCAATAATTAGCCCCAGCAAATGGCTTCAGAATCAAAACATTAAAGCAAGAGGGAAGTAGCACAAGTATTCTCAAGGGAACATACTATTTAATGGGCAAATCAGGCACTCAGTATCAAAGACGTTAATATTTTATCAAGTTACCTACTTGGAATATATTTGTGAAAATATAAGGATGACGTATTTCTTTTTTAATACAAAAATTTAGAGGGAATGTATATCAAGAATTAGCATGGGCTCGGCGCCTATAGCTCAACCGGCTAAGGCGCCAGCCACGTACACCTAAGGTGGCAGGTTCGAATCCCCAGCTCGGACC